TACATCATGGGAAAGGAGCGCTATAAGGAAGGAGCTGAAGGAAAACAAATGATTTTGTAAATGTTTGTGGACAATTGCTTCCAGGTATAAAGAGCCAGCAGGAAAGCAAGCACAAAAGCACTCGATGAAAATCTAATAAAAAAGACCATGGAAACCAGCATGACCATTCTGAAAATCAGTGAAGGAGAGGGCAAGTGAGAACAGCTCTGCTGTGCAGACACACACGGCTGCAAACGTGTAAGTGGGGAGGAGGAAGGGACACAGGGGAGACACAGGGCATGGGGAGCTGTCCCCTGGTGACAGCCTGACTAAACATTAGATACTGCACCGTGTGAAACTGCCCAGCAAATAGACCATAGACCAGTGTGAGTACTGCAAAAATATTCATCGCAGCTAAGAAGGGGGGTATTGTAGAGGCCAAGATAATGCACAATGTGTTGAAATCATATATATTCAAAGAAGTGTTTTCAGACATGATACTGTTTAATGGGTACGTATTTGCAAATAGAACCTACAGTAGAGTAGTACGTGTTTTATATATAGGGCCTCCACCCTCAAGACTTTACAACCTGAATTGCAGAGACCTAACTAATCTAGACTCGGTGATCTGTTGAAGCATATATCTAGAATCTGTACGTCTGTGCTTCAGAGCTCAGTGTAGAATAGCAGTGCTTGAGCTAATTTGAAATGTAAGAAGTCTAATTGTTGCAGCACAGAACTTCGCATGGGTGATGTGCTTTGCCAAGAAAGCCCATTTAAAATGCTTTTATATACATGCAGTGCTTCAGAATTGCTGTCTTTAGGTGTACTGGGCTTAGAGCTTATGTTTTAAATAGAAAAATCTATTGTTTGAGTTAATTTTCAGAAAGGAGGAGGAGGTGGCACCAGAGGCGTTTTGAGTAATTCACAGCTGTAAAAGCTCCCATTACCCAGTGTTGTAAAAGCTTTGCCCTGCATCCGTTATACTAAGGTGAACACTCATGTATTCCTATACAAAAGGAATATGTTCCTTCATTTTTGTTTGATTCACAGAGTATTCAATTACTGAGAGAGCTGTGTCCAAGGGAAGGGTGCAGTGGTCACTGTCCAAGCATGCAATGGACTCTTGTGCTGCTCCCCGCCTTCCCTTAAAACAGCCTTAAAACTTACTGGGTTTATTATTGGAATTTTTATTAGTTCCACAACAGCTATTTCAAAACTGAGAAAGCTCATCGTGAGCTTATGCTGCAGTCATCTTATCAGTGAATGATCAGGAAGACCAACCCCATGCTCCAGATTTGTCAGCTTTTAAACTGTCATACCCAAACACGTCCAGTGGATAGCCTCACATGGGGGCAGGACACAACATGCCTCACAGATCCTGCCCTCTCTGTATTTCAAAATCTCTGATATATGCCATTAATTTATACATGGATGCCTGCTCTGTCAGCAGAAATAAACAGGTACAGCCAAGCACATGTAGGAAACATTAGCCGACACTGAAGGACTCATCCAGTTTAGCTACAGTGATTTTACAGCTTTTATTGAGATTGCACAAGACTGCCAATATGCGTGAATCAGAAGTGCCAGAAACACTAGATTATGACTGTTTGTCGCTATTTTGTGACTGAGGTGTGATTTCTTAGGAAATTTAGTGAAAGAAGCTCCAGAACCAGAAGCCACATAAGCAGCTGACCATGGTTTAAACTCCCCAATGGCTTCCTTTCCTCCTGTGCAAACGTTTCAGCTTGCAGATCACTGCATCTGCTGCTGTCAGTGAGGCTGCAGGCCATGCCACTCCAGCCTTGGTTCCACTGCTGAGGAAGGCAGCACTCTTCATATTCTGATTTATGTCTTTCTCAAAGCACCCTGAACCATTCAAAAATCCTAAAACTTTTTGGTAAGTGGCCTGTATGAGTTCTCACAGAGCTGTCATCTGACCAAAAACAGGCAATTGTCCAGGAATGAACGATGCTTTCAATACAATGGATTGTATTTTTAGCTCAAGTAAAATTCCACCTTGTTATGACGAGAAACGTAAAGGTGATTCTGCTCATGGTATTGTTCAGCCAAGCAGTTAAAAGTTTTAAGTCTCTCCGCAGCAGGATAAAGTTGTAGAATGCCTTTTAAACTCACTTTCTATGATTTTAACACGTAATATATGATGGGACCGGATGTCAGGCAATTTCTAGGCTTCCAACCAAACGGTGCCTGGCAGGGGCGCCAACCAAACGTGAGGGCAGGGACACAGGGCTGTGCTCCTTACCAGCGCTGTGACAAGTGGCCTTCCTCCAAGATGACCCCCGCGTGGCTGCGGGCCTGCCGCAAAGCTGCTGCGGGGATGCTCTGCTCTTTGCTCTTGCAAAATGTGGCCAGAAGTTCCACGTTTTCGGCATCTTCCTACCTGTACAAGGTGCCTTTTAGGGACTCTTCACAAAACATGATGAGCGCTCAGGGAGATGTTTTGCTTCAAGCATGGGGGAAAACAAAAGGAAGTTTTGTTATAGTGAGTTCTCTGTCTGCTAACTCCTCATCCTAAAGAAGCCTCCAATTAAGCTATTTATTCATAAAATACAGGAAAAAAAGAAAGCAACTACCTCCAGCAGCAGCAGCAGAACCATTTAAGTCTGGATTCTCTGGATTTATGGCTGCTTGCTGGCTTTCTTCTGACTAAAATGGAACATTTATCTTCCAGGGGATTAGTCTCTGGTACCTTATCAGCCTTCCCTTCAATGAGGGCAGCAGTGTGGTCACCTTTCTCTATCTCACTGCTCTTCACTAAACTTTTAGGCATGTAATTCCTTTGAGAATCCTTTTTTTTTGTCCAAATTGATTGATACTTAAGGCTGAAAAGTTATCAGAAAAGTAGGGGTCTAGATGGACAGATAACATGGCCAAAGTGATATTTATTTTGCACACCAGGCTCTTAGAAAAACGATTATTTAATACATGATATTCTGCAGAGTAAAGGGAATAATTTTACTTCCTTTGAAGTATAGTGGAAAAAGAATTCTTCAAATCAATGTGAGTATCATTTCATCTAATTTGATAACCTGGAGAAGGAATTGTGTGCCTGCAAGCTTATTCACTTTTTAGCTATATTAGCTAGTCTGTTATAATACATTATTTCTCCCTTCAAAACTTGCTTCTTGTCCAATTAGAGACCCTGGTGCCTTCTCATTAAATCTCCCAAGGAGTATTTCTCCCTGAGGAAGTCCTGAGGCCAATGAACTGGATTTAGATTTATAATAGATACAGGATTAGATTAAACTAAAGAGAATTAAATATGTAACATGCAAAATGTTTATAAATGTATTAATTTAAAATACTACATTATTTAACATTGAATCATTGGGATTAGAAAAATAACATTCCCATTTCTCAGTCTGTTGCAGACTATCTATTTTTTTTATCTTTTTGTGGACAGATGATATTTTGTATTAACCCTAAATTGTCAGACTGGGCAATGACAAGTCTGAATACTTGCCCTCCATTTAGAAATGTAGTCTCAACATGACATAGGATCTAGCCCACGGTATTTACTGTCAACATTAATAACTGCTGTTGAGAAACCCTCCTTTGTTTACTATTTCAGCAAATGCACCTGATGACTTTTCATCTTTGAATAATACATGCATGAAACAACAGAGTATGTCTGTTCTGCCTTCTACTTCACCCTGCTATAACTTGAAATTCCTGCTTTTTATTAATAAGAACTACCTGTAAATGTCTCGTGAATTGCTGGGCAGGTAGCTTTTGTCACAGGAGAAAGGCACCCACAAGCCGACCTGTGCCACAACTTTTTTGGGAGGGTAAGTGGCAAGGACCTGCCATGGCACAGAGGGATTAAGTGACTAGCCCGTGGTCAAAGATTGTGGTGCATTTAGAGGAAAAAAAAAGTACAGCTACCTAAGCAATCATCCTAACCACTGTAGCATCCCTGCTCTGCACAACTTGCCCAAGGAGGCAAAAATAATTAGTCTGCATTTGCTGGGAGTGTTTAGCCAGTAATTAGGTGGTCTCTTTTCTCTCGCTTTTAAAAGAGAAGGCTCTATTAACTTTTTAGCCCTTGCATTTAAACTGTTTTTGATGGCTGATACAATTCAATTAGTCTTGTTCTAGTTAGCGATCTATTGTTGTCTTAATGGCATTGAGAATACTAATTCAGACTTTAATGAATCAGGAAATCCGAATGGAAAGGTTCATTTGGAAAAGTTTCTAAAAACTGCAGTAATAAGATTCCTTTTTACTTCGGATTTTGCCAGGACAAAATTTACCAGTAACAATCTCAGGTGGCTTCAGGAAAGGCAGGACGCAGTCCCTCAAGATCAATAAAAAACTTAGGGAGCAGCCTGCATCCCTGCTCTTCTGCGACAGCACCGGGCACTGGGGTGCATGGATCAACCAAGTGACACCAAAGCTGCGCCTTACAAATAACATGTGAACTATTGTTTTTTTCTGTGTCTTGAAGACTTGATCCCGATTGTGAAAATCAGTGTGGAGGAAAAGGTGCTAAAACGCAGTACATTTGCACTTTCCATACATTTGAAACAAGTATTTCAGATTCAGAAGTTCACAGGTACATAGCTAAGAGTTCAAGCTCTAAAATAACTGTATTTTTTTTACATGAGAAATACATCCGCAGAGCACAACAACATTGAAATGACATTTTATCCCTTGCTTTTCTTGCTGAATTAACCCCTTTTCTTGGCTATTGAGCTTTTTGATAAGACACTTAAGCATTTAAGCATTGCTCACCTATTTTGTTTCCACTTGCTGAAATTCAGAAGCTCAACTCTGCCTTTTTTTTACCATCCAACTGCCACATTCCTGCGTTGAATAACCCCAAGCATGCTGTTGATAATTAAATTACTGCAGAATAGTATATCAGAAGCATGTGTACGTAGAACAAAATGAAAGTGCTTTATAAATATTTATTTAGAGTTTCTCCAAGAACGTCCATATTTAGTCTGTGCAACAACGTATATTAATTAACATTCACCAGAATTTGATAGAAATTCTTAAAGTTTTTCATTTTGCTTAAAAATTGTAGAAGTATCCTTTGATTTCCTGTGTATTTTTGCAAATGCAGTTACTCTTTTGAGAGCTTCTGACAAGCCTTCTCCCGTGATGGCACAGCAGGGTTGTACATACCAATTTCTGTCACTGCAGTACTTCTTCATGTTGAATTTCCTGGTAACTTCCTCAGCATTCAAAGCTCCAGGCAAATCCTGCTTGTTTGCTAGCAGAACTACTGGTACGTTTTTTATAAATTCACTCCTTAAAACACGTTCAAGTTCTTTCTTCGATTCTTCCAGCCGTTGATTATCAGCACTATCCACAACATACAGAAGCCCATCTGTATCTTCCATGAAGTCACCCCAAAGCTGCCTCATTTTTTGTTGTCCTCCAACATCCCAAAAGGTTAATGTAAAATCTTTCTGCGTTTCAATCATGTCGACGTTAAAGCCAATCGTTGGAATTGTTAGAAAATCATCATTGTGCTTTAACCTGTACAATAGCGTAGATTTTCCTGCATAATCAAGTCCTAACATTAATATATTGCCTTTTTTGACTCTGGAGTCCTTGGTGTGGTGGAGGCCCATTGGTGCTGTGGTTTCCCGTATTAAGCCCTCAGCGATGGTATTCAGTCTTCTGTGAAGCCAGTTTTTGTCACTAAGCCTTCTTTCTTCCTCCGTGAGATGAAGCACAACGCATAAGGAAGAGGAAGAAGCAGCCTTGTGCTATGAAAAATAAACAAAAGCTCTATATAAATACATTCTGGCTTTTATCAACTCGATAAAAATCAAATGATATTTATGAAGGTGTAACGTTCAGTGCCAAGCCTGTGGGTGGAACGGCTGTGAGTAATGCTCCGATTGGTCACAGAGCCCAAAGGTTGCAGTCTTGGAGCGTGTTTGAACAGTGAACCATAGTTACATGGTCGTCCTTCTCTAAAATTTAAGAACTGTTTGTCTATTATAAAACTCTGCATGCTGAACCAGCAGTGGTCTGGTTTTACACAGTCGTTAAGGAGGGGAATTCTTAAAGGTTTGTCCTTAATTAACAATCCATGAAATGACAAAGTACATGGATTATCAGTGTTTCGTCTCCCAGCAACAGATTAATTTCAAGTGGTTTCTAATATAAATCTGTATAGATACATGGACTCAATCAACCACAGCAGAACCTGATTTAAGCGTTTTCCTGCTCTAAAGGTGGTTAACGTTTCCTTCCTGCATATTCTGTGGCAGGCTGTCTACTTTAGCTGTGCTGTTAGAGGTGGAAACTAGGTGAGTTAGGTTTTTATGAAAATGTTTGTTACCTGCACTTTGCACACTGGAGATTAAATAACAGGCCTTACAATCTGGTCATGCCTGAGATCCAGCTACCTGAACTTAAAAATGCCTATTAGTGTCATTATGATGTATTCTCTGTTGCCTGCTGATATTATGACCAGGATCTTACCAGACAGTATTAAGAAAAGGGGAAGTAACTGAGTCTCAATCTGTGGATCATTTTTGGCAGCATTTGAAATAGCAGAATGATAAAGAGAATGAAGTGAAAATTGAGCCTAATATTACTTAATATACACTGACTCCCAATTCTTTTTGACAGCTAGGAGATCCATGTAGGGCTAGTATAATGTGGACTGATTATTTTTGCCATACTTATTTGCCCTTGCGCTCAGATGGAGTAGTAGTTACTACTGCCACTTGTCTTTGCTTCAATACTGACATAAAGAGCAAAAACATGCAAAGGCTACTGGCCAAGTGAACGGCTCACTAATAGGGCAGTCATTTTGCTAGTTATGGCACTGTATAACATGTATGGAATATGTATAGGATTTCTTTCAAGAGAAGATCATGATATATTAAACCATGGAGGAAAGTGTTTGCCTCTCTTTATAAATAATGTATATGAATGAATTGAAAGATGGGGAAATGGGAAGCTATGCAAAGCACATTGTTAGCTCAGTCAAATGAATCATAATTCCCTGCAAATAGCATGTCATTTTCTTTGAAATATGGTTATCTTGGTAAAGGGCAAAACTTCCCTCTGCGCAAGCTGTGATGGAATGGATGGGTTATCTGTATCTTGCCTAGTGCTGTGGTCTAAGGATGACTTACATTTCTCTGCTGTTTATGTCTGCTCCAATGTTATTTGATATTTATGGCCTCAACTATTATTTTGTTAAAACAGGTATCACTTCGAAGAAGCTCATTAAGCAATGTCTGACTACTGAATGAAAGGACAGGACAGCTAATTTCTAAGAACACTGTTTTTGCAGTTTTTAACTGTACCCAAGTCAAACATCAGTTACCTGGTTCAGAAACAGAGTTTGTCTTTCTAGTAATAATAACTTTTAATATTAATGCCCTCGGCCCGCAGCAGGCAGGTCTCTGAGCTGCCATTTGTGAGGCCGACTCACTCCTTGCACTAAAGCAACCAAGAGCCGCAGCTAAACCACATCCAGCCAGTGGCCAAGAACTGCGGGTTTTAATTCGCAATTGCTGAACAGAAACCTTTCTGCAGACCAGACGTAAACCCAAGCTATTTGAGGAAGGGAGCAGGGAAGCAAAACCGTGGGGTGTATTGAGGACAGCATCCTTTGTGAGTACTCTGCTACACTACCACAGGGACACATCTTCCAGCAAGTCACATGCACCTTTTACCCGTAGACACATCAAGTGAAACTTGAGGAATAAATTTGCAGCAAACTGTTCTCAGACATAGAGCAGGCCAGGTGGTTCAAACCATGAGGAGTGATCTGCATTTGTAGAAGACAAGTGTTTGAGAAAAGTAGAAACTACCTTTGACTCGTCCAAAGGTGAATTTACTTAGTCGGGGTGAGGCTATTTTGCTTGTTTTTTTTTTTTTTATTTTTGGTTAAAAAAAAACAGTAATAAAATTGGGGTAGCTGATTTGCCACAAATATAATCCAAACTCAGAAGTCAGGGAGGACACAGACGATGCTTAGGGGGAAAGACAAAGTGCCATTTATTACCCCCCAAGACCTGTGGTGGGCCCTGAGGAGGAGGAGCAGAAGCCTTTCTCTCTCCGTGCTAGCCCCAAAGGCCACTTCCTATCCTGCCAGGCACCTGTCCTGGCTGTGCACCTGCCCCAGCTGGGCTCTGTAACTGCCCCCTCTCAGTGCCCAGCCATGGCTCCTTAGGGAAAAGCGACTGTTGTGCGCGTGAGGCGCGAGGCGCGGTGACCGTTGGGTGCATGAGGCGCGAGGGGCAGCGACCATTGTGCGTGTGAGGCATGAGGCGCAGTGACCATTGAGCACGTGGCACAGTGGTTGTTGGGCGCGTGAGGCACGAGGGGCAGTGACCGTTGGGCGCGTGGCGCAGTAACCATTGGGTGCGTGAAGCGCGAGGGGCAGTGACCATTGGGCACACGGCACAGTGACTGCTGGGCGCGTGAGGCACGTGGTGCAGTGACCGTTGGGTGCGTGAGGCGCGAGGGGCAGTGACCATTGGGCACGAGGCGCAGTGACGGCTGGGCGCGTGACCGTTGGGGGCGTAAGGCGCGAGGGGCAGTGTCCATTGGGCGCACGGCGCAGTGACGGCTGGGCATGTGAAGCGCGAGGGGCAGTGACCCTTGTGCATGTGAGGCGCGAGGGGCAGTGACCATTGGGCGCGCGGTACTGTGACCATTGGGCACGTGAAGCACGAGGGGCAGTGACTGTTAGGCACGTGGTACGGTGACCACTGGGCACGTGAGGTGCTTGGCGCAGTGACCATTGGGCATGTGAGGTGCGAGGCGCAGTGACCGTTGGGCACGTGAGATGCGAGGGGCAGTGACCATTGGGCGGGCAGTGACGTGTGGGTGCGTGAGGTGCGAGGGGCAGTGACCATTGGGCGTGTGAGGCGTGCAGCACAGTGACCGTTGGGCGCGTGAGGCGCAGTGACCGTTGGGTGCCTGAGGCACGAGGAGCCGCAGCTCCGCCGCTCGCCCTGCACTGCCCAGCCCTGCCCTTTCCGTTGCCGCCTACGCCAGCAGCCCGGAGGAGGCGGTGCCGGACATCACGGTAATGGCGCTCGTGCGGTCGGCTGCGGTTGGGCCGCCACGGGGCTGCGGGCAGCACCGCGGCAGGCGGCGAGGGGGGCCATGCGGGCTCCCGCCGGGGCTCCCTTCGCCGGCGTCTGGGCGGCTCTTAAGGCACATTTAACACTGAGGCGGAGCGGGGGCAAGGCTGCTGCAAACTCGAGCTGTAGCAGGAAAGAATGGCGGAAAGGGCCCCCCAGGGCGGTAGAGATGTCGGTTGTCTCCTGTCAAACGCGGAAACACCTTCTAGGCCAAAGGGTAGTAACACGGGCCCTTCAGCAGTAAGGATAAAAGCACTGGTTTAAATCATGCAGTAGAGATAAAAGCTCTGGCTTAAGTTGTGCGCAAACAGTTTTCAGAGCACAGTTTGCAGAGTTTCTGGAATATTTGGCTTTGACTGGGATATCCTAAATAAAGCTCACATTAAACAAAATTATTTTAAGAACTCAGTGTACTTGAAAAGCCTTGCTGTTAAATAATTTTGTCTCCTACTTTTCGCTGGTCTATTAACTGCAGAGTCCTTTAGCATCAGTGGCTCGTGCAGAACCAGGGTGTGTTGGTAAAACTGGGCTGCTTGCAGTTCTTCCCCATAAAGCAAATTCAGAGTTAAAATGCTCCGAGATAGAGCTAAGGGAAAGGAATATATACCCATTCAGAAAAAAAAAAAAAGAATTTCACAGCCGTGCAGTTATTAATAAAAAATAAAAATAATAAAAAAATAGCTCTGAAAACTACATACCAAAGAAAGGAAAAACTAAATCACAGAAAAGGAGGGTGAAAGGACTTGGAGAACCTTAACTCTGCACCGTCCACGCTGCTCAGTAGGAGAACAGAATCATCTTCCTCCTTCCCTCCCTCCCTTCCTTCCTTCCTTTCGTTTTTTTTCCTCCTGTGTTAGAATAAACTGATTTATAAAGAAAATTGATTTTTTTTCTTCTCCTGTTTTTATCTTTCACAGGAATTGAACATTGAGCTTAGAATGATATATATGCCCAGATGCATAGGTTGGAATGATACTGCTTCAGAAACCTAGGGTATGAATACAAAATATTCTATTACCATATTTTTTATTCTTTTAATATAAAAATTGAGAAGACTTTAACTCTTTTGTGTAATCTCAGCAGGGGGCAGTAGATTTTTTAATTCTACATTTTGGGCTGTTTTTTCCTTAGTTATTCCACATGTACCGGAAAAATGCCTAGAAAAGAAAATGGAGATTGATTGGACAATTTGAAGTGATAACAAGTCATTTTTAAAGGTTATTTAAAATATTTTTAAAGTGTCATTGTACTAATATCCGTTAAACTTAGCTAACCTCATAGCCTAGCATCATGCAAAAATACCTCCACCTGCTATTGCTAGTAACACATATGAAGAAAACAAGAGACCAAATACTTTGATACCTTTCCAAATGATTTGTGGCTGAAAATAAAAAAAAGATTTAATTTTTGTCTGTATACATCTATCATTACAAATTTGTATATATATATATGTAAAATCTTTAAATTAAAATATCCACTGGTAGAATTTAATGATTACAACAGTTTGCCACCTTTTTCCTCACAAGAAAGTCTGCACTAGATATTACTCTGGCTATAGCAGTGTGAAGAATGCATCTGAAATTACTAAGGAGTGTGTCCAGTGCATCTTGCCTTAAGTGTGATTGTCTTAGAATTGATCTGTTTGATCTGTCAGCATAACCTCAAGCTTATATTTGAGTCCTGCCAGCAAGTTGTGAACTAACAAGCAAATGAAGCTATTTATCTGAAAACAAGGTTTGAACTGTTGTTGCTCCCTGCTGCCTCCCTTATCATATGACAGTATAACTAGAAAGAAAAAAAAGAAGTATAAAAGTAGTAGAGAACCTGTCATTGGCCTGTCTGCAATTTCTACAACTTTACCACCTCCTAGCAAAATTACTAATGGACCTATCAAATGGCATCAGCTCTTTGGAGAACCCTTTGGTTTGAGGATTTGGAATAAAGAGAGATGGGGCTCTTTTGTTACCTGCTGTGGTTAGGATTTCTCGTTTTATTGGCATTTTTATTATTATCTGTGTGTACTTGAAGTCCAGATGCTGTGCTTAATGAGTTTGGAAGATGACCGCCCTTACTGTAAGTTCTCAGCACTGAACTAAACAGGTAATGTTTTGGGAGTATAATTTCTACTACTTTGCCATTATAAAAACTCTATTTTGGTGAACCTGCACTAGCTTGCAAACAGTTGGTCTTATCACAGAGCTACATTGGGGAATGCATCTTTATGTAACCAGAAAGTGATGCGTGCGTTGTTGATCATCCAGCTTTTTTTTTTTTTTCAGTCATCTAATCCTACCATTTGGTGCTTATTACATGAGATTGGTGCTGCTGCCCTCTGCTGTGTGAATGGCCACTGATCGTCTGTTGGAAGAAACACTTCATTTACTGGTTTCCTTTCTGTTTTCTCACCTTCGCAGCTGCAAAATCAGCAGATTGGTAGCTGCTGAAATTCACATGTGCAAGAATTGCCAGTTGCTGTATTTCCAAAATGGTAAGACAATTTAGCAGTGGTGTTTCTGAGGGCAAGATGGTGGAGAGGCTGAAAAGGATAGTGGGGATTTATGGGACAGAACAGCAGCGTTTGTGGGAACTAGACCCTGAACTTTATGTTTTTATAGCAGGGTTTCTAACTCCTTAGGATTTACAGAGCATAATACCAAGTATTGTATAATGCTCGTTCTGGATTCCAGGTAGTGCAGACTTTTAACAAAAGTCTGATAGCTCTAAGACTGTGTTTTTTCTTGTGTGGGCAATGATTTGAATTGCTTAATTATTGTCTTCACAGATTTTTTACTGCTTGTTAGACTGGGCATTGGTCTGTAATCCTGTTGTTCACATTATCATTGTATTAGACTTCCTGTCAACAAGTGATTGAAATTGAATTTTACTTTTGATTATATATATTTAATCCATGTGGAGGTAAAAGAATTGACAAACACACACAAAAAAAGAGCTTTTAAGTGTTTTACGGACTGTGGAAAAATCATCAATTATTTTTAGAAGTTCCTAATGAAACTCACTTGCTTGTCTGTAATTATATGAGATACCTCCAATGAATAATTTGAGTCCTGTTAGCCTTATTCTTTCGAAGGAATGCACATTTGAGGAAGATCGGTGTGAATTTTTTTCTGTTTAATAGCTATTTGTGTAAAAGAGTCGTAATCCAATGTAAGTGGTGCATGATGCATCACTGATGATAAATAGGATCCAAATACTTGATCATTTATTTAAGATCAAAGTGTATGCAGAAATAGAAGGCAGGAGGGCTCCAGCAACTTTCTTTGCAACTTAAATACATAAAAAGGAGGATTTTGTAGTGATTTGTTTATTTAAATGAGAATCTTAGAAGAATTTGCAAAGCTTATTTAAGGCTTGAGCCTCATCTACTGCAGGGATTTGCTGCTGCTCCCATTGTGTCAATGCGAAACTACTGAGATAAAATTGGTTGCCATGTCTCTTTACTAAATCACTTGATTTAATAAGCATGAAATAGAAAGTAATTGCATGTTGTATAATGTTGCACATTGTAGAAACAGCCATTTCTTTGGGCACTGTAATAGCTTGGCCTTTCTGACAAGGTACGTTTGTGTCTGCAATGCTGAAATAGTTTGGGATTGTGTGCAAGGCAGTTATTTCTTCTCTCCCCAACACGTATTCAGCCAGTTCAGAATCTGTAGCTAGATGTACAACTCTGCTCAGCCTTTCAGCAATGGAAGATTTATTTGCCTGTACTCTTTCTATCTGCTTGCCTTACTGGTTTGTTCTAGTTTATATAAACTAGTGCTTTCTTTGAAATAAACTACAAAATTCTGAAGTCTCTGAATAACTTTTTATTGAGGAGTTGGTAGCTGCTATATTTTGTGTATTATCTTCCTTCCTCATGGTTTAAATGAGTTGAAGACATCATGCTGAGAGCCTTCAACTTTCTCCAGGATCAAAATGTCCTATTTTTGATCCTTTATAGAGATCAGGTTTATGTAGGGGAAATTTCCAACATGAAAGCTATAGGATTTTGTTCTCTACCATATTCAGTAGCAGCTCAGTATTCTACTCATGATTCTTTTGAAGATATAGTGTGGATTCATGGGTGCAGGACACAATATGCATTAGCTGAACCAAGGATTCTTGGATTTATTTTTACTATAGAAGACTTTGAGCTACCATTTAGGCTGAGAAGAAGATAATGTGTGAATAAAAGCATTCTGAACACTGCTCTTTCATTTGTTTTTCAGTAGGACGTGTGCTTCTGAACTTGTGATCCAGATTTTGAAGGTCACTGACATTTGACTTCTGCAAGTTACTTACTGCCCAGTTTGTTAATGTCATGTATATGAGACAGTTAAAATGGATTTTTTTGTTCCTCCTTTTATTTTCTGTCATAGCAATATGGTACATAACTCTTTCCACAAACACCGTCATTGAGCATACAAACTCAATATATTTTTATGAGTATGAACCAGTTTACAAGCAGCACTACCTCTTCACTTTGCGCGAACGCTGGAAATGCGAAGACATAAATCCATTTCTAGTCATCTTGGTATCGTCCGAACCTAGGGATGTGAAGTCAAGACAGGCCATAAGAGCAACGTGGGGATCTAAAAACTTCTGGTGGGGACAACGAGTTCTAACCCTTTTCTTGCTAGGGCAGGAAGTTCACAGCGATGGCAATGCTGCGGTGCTGTCAGCTGAAGATGAAAACATTCTCTATGGTGACGTAATTCGCCAAGATTTTATGGACACGTATGACAATCTTACCTTGAAAACGATCATGGCATTTAGGTGGGTAGCTGAATTCTGTTCAAATGCTAGGTTCCTCATGAAGACTGATGATGATGTTTTCATCAACACTGGTAATTTAGTAAAATTTCTCCTAAAGCTAAATTCCTCAGAAAATATTTTTACTGGTTATCCTCTTATAGATAATTTTGCCTACAGAGGCTTTTACCAAAAAACATATATCTCTTATGATGAGTATCCTTTCAGGCTGTTTCCTCCATATTGTAGTGGCATGGGTTATATATTGGATGGGAAACTTGCTCTGAGGATCTATGAAATGATGAGTCATATCAAACCTATTAAATTTGAAGATGTTTATGTTGGAATTTGCCTAAGTATGCTTAAAGTGAACATCAGTATTCCAGAAGATAAGCAACAATTCTTTCTTTATAAAATTGACTTTGATATTTGTAAGTATAGACATTTAATTGCAGTACATGGTATTACATCAAGTGAATTAATCAGGTTTTGGCAAGTTTTGTCATCAGATTCTTCACTTAATTGCTTTTGATATGAATCATCTTAAATCTTTGCATTTCAGTGTAGAAATGTTTAAGATTTAGGAAAAAATGAAACAAAACCACATTTTTAGATATGACTGACTGAAGGAGAGCTACATTTCACTGAGGCCTTGTAATAGCTTTAAATGAAAAGTTCAGGCATTCCCCAAACACCTTCCCTGTATGCATCCTGTGCATGTAGGATAATTTGGAATGCTCCATCCCGACTCCCCCTGACACTTCACCATGCGTTTTGCTGTAACCATTAGCTTTTTACCTCAGTCTCCTGGGATCTATGAAGTCTCACCCACAAAAGTTTCTTCTGAGACCAGCTTTGCTGGTGCTTTCCAAGTCCCTAACTAACAGGGCCTTTTTGTTATTGCTGTTTTGTTTTGTTGTTGTTTTGCAAACCGTCTTCCTTTGCTACACTCAGAAACATGTTTGTTCTCTGCTCAGCAGAGGACTATCTTCTTATTGAAGCATATCACCTCGGTAATGCTTCTGAGTGTTACAAGACTTTGGAACATTGGGTCTTACTGATATTCTGAAATGGGGAATTCTGAAAAATAGAGTGTACGCTGTGTGTGTTTGTATGTATCTAGAAAATAGAATGCTTTGATGTCTTAAGCTGTGTTAATAGTCACAGACTTTGAAGGCCAGCTGCAGAAGTCTGCATGCAGCTTAGTTAATATATTATCTCTTAATATAGCAAAATCATGCATATGTGTGTCTGCTGATGCATCCTAAGAGGTATTGCAGCCCATGCAGGGAAAATAGAAGCAGACATACTGAAATTGTGATTGTTACAGGTTTTTCTAAAGTAGTTTTCTTGGTTCAGATTTTACAATTTAAGAATGAAAGTCTAGGAATCTTAAAGAAGACAAATGCAACTGTATCTGTAAAGACGAGCATTTTAATAACTTTATTCGTATCAGCATGGCTAAGTTTTCAGTAGCTTACACTTCTAATGGACAACGATACAGAATCTGTAACTGCATTAACATAATTATTCTTGACACATCTACTACACACTGAAGATACTAGAGTTACTCCTGTACATCTGGAATGACAGAGCGCTGCCACTTTATTTGTACTAAAGCTAATATATTATATTTACATTTGGCTGTCTTTCAGATAGGTAGTCTCTTAGAGACAAATTAGAAGAAATGCAGAAACCTCTAGTACTAAGATTGAGGTTTCACCCTCTTTTGTTACAGTGTGGTTGTGGTCAGTACTGAATTTTGCTGCCTTTTCAATAACTGCACATAGTTCCATAATGGAATTACAGGACACATTGTTTAACTGTAACAGTGAGGCTCGAGGGGAGAACACCGTCAAAATAACCACTTCAGATGGCAGGGTTGGTGAATGTATGTTAGGAGGGTCAAAGTCTTTCAATGATTTTTTTGTTGTTACTAAACTACACAGCTAAAGATACAGTATTGCATAATTGAGAAAGTAATGTTATTGTAGCCTGAAAACAGAGGTAACGCTACAGCTGTTCTTATGGTTTTAGGAACTGTCTTTTGATTATTTTACTGTTGTGCTCAGACCTGAGAGCTCTGTGAAAAACGGTTAACCTCTGATTGTATATACTTTTTTCCTTTTTAATTATTTTTTCTTAAGTCTGCCGTGATGAATGTTTGGATATAATTTTATTTGGAAATAAGTAACAAGACCACTGAAACTACAGCAGAGTTTGTATTACTTTTTCAAAAAATTATGTTATGATAGGCTATGTAATTTTCAAAAACTGGGTATATAAAGCAAACAGTGCTCCTGTTGAGAAAATACTGAGTATCACAGAAGAATTGCTGCGCATTACTGCAATAAAAATGCAACTGTCACTGAACAAGCTAGTTTTATATTCGCGTCCCAGAATGATAACACTGATCCTAGATTACAAGGCTTTTGTTTCCACAGATGGAGGTTTATACACAGTGATCTGTTTATGCCACTTGAATTTGTAATGTAGTGACATACATTTTGCAAGAAAGTTACACGTTCCTGTGTCTTTTTTAGAACACTTCCAAATCCAGTTTGTATTTGCATTTGATCTTATTATTGCTTAAAAGACCCTAAAAATGCATAAATAATCCAATATTTCTACTAAAAGCAAGTGTCTGATAAATCTCTAGTGTATGCAGCAGAGGTTCAAAAGCTTAAATTGTTTTAAGTCCGTGGCTTAAGTCCGTGATTATCAGTCCGTGATTTTTAACTTAGAAATCCTCTAAGTTTTACAGCATGCGCTTAACGCTATTTTAACTAAAAAAAAAAAAAGTCTAAACCACGTTAAGATTTTTCCAAATCCTAAAATCTTTCTTTTCCTAGGAAAAGTAAAGCAAGTAAATGGTTGAGAAAGCCAGTGGGGAACTGTTTTTGGGGGGGAACTATTGCTGGTTGGATAGCAAAAAGGAATGAACAATGTTCATGTTGTCTGTATATTACTACAGAAGTGTTCAGAAGTCCAGAATGTTTCAATATTTTGTGTGCATTGCTAAACCATTAAGAATGCTATTTGCTATTCTAGTATCAGTTCAGCATCATCAGTAAATGGACACTGAGGCTTTAGACTATTTTTGAAGTCGTCATATGCTTTCTAGCTACTATTAAAATATTTCAATGCAAGTTCATTGTGAATAACACAAGGATGTCTGGATATACAATAAATAATGTCACTTATTATATTTCCTTCAAATATAAACTAGGAACTGATTGAGGCTTGGCCAGCAGAATATGACAGAGTTCTTGATATGCCTGGATTGGACATGTTACACATGCTGACGAGTGTAGGAGCTAGAGCTTTACTCTCTGACCAGTGTGTAACATTTTGGTCATTAATTAAAAGTAATTTACCATTTGCTTACGGTCAAGGGGAAGAATGGGAACTTAAAGGACATTTAACACTGCACTTGGTTAAATAATAAGCTTGTCAAGTTTTAATACAGATTTTGTATATTGCATCTTATTAGCCATATCAAAATGCAAATGTTACCTTTGGGAAGGAAAGTAAACAACCTTAAAATGAAGTTAAGACTTTGTTTGTTGTTTATTTTTTCCTGTAGTGAGTCCACATTTTAAATATACCTAAAATAAAAACCTAAAGACAGTCTCTTTTAAGGGATTAACAAAAATGCAGTCTTGGAGATGCTGCTATTACATGATTATTCACTGATGGCAGTATCGTCCTGAAACTCAGCTTAGGAAATGAAATCTCATTATAGTACAGTTAGTCTCACAACTGCAGTGAGATGTAATTTTCCTCTCATAAATAAAGCACTTAGAAATACAAAGTTAAACCCAAGTGGTGTTTATTGATACAGTTTATATATCTGAGCTCTGTTTACCTCTAGCCTTCTGACAGTCGCTACATAGCACATTAATTTTTCAAGATCATATTACTCTAAAAGAGTTCTTTTGAAGTTTATGCCGGATGAGGATGGTCTGTAGATGTCACATGCATCCAAATTCACTATCCAGGCTAGGCTGGCATTGAGCTTGATGCCCCGTCCCCTCCGCTCAGTAGCGCTCAGGACGGCTGTGGTGGTCCTCAAAGCAGTAAAGTGCACTCTCCCCTGAGCTGGCAGGAACGATAAAACCTTAAAAACACTCTTTGTGTAGAGGAAAATGTTACAACAGATGCCTGAAGAGGCTCATATCTAAGATAATATAGCAATGTTGAACGAAATGGAAGTTGTGAGACAAATTAAACGTTGTGGCTTTGTTATTTCCATGTTGTTGAGGCTTTTAATAAACCTCTGAACTGCTCTTGGAGAATTCAGAACACGCACACTTCAGGATCAGCTTTTCTCAATCTTTTTAAGAGCACTTACAAATACACTAGGCAGAAGTGGTTTTGCAGTCCCTAATACACTAACACACAGTATAGTTTTTTAACTGCTCCTCATACCAAATTAACAGTTACATGACTGATAGAAGTAGGTGCAAATGTTGAATTCAGCCCATGTTAAAGGTAGATGGGTTTGAAATTTATACAAATGGACTTAATTTATAAATCCAACATTATTAATCACTTTTTAAGTTTTGTATCTGGCTAATGCAGATACAGGAGGAGTTACATCAAAGGACAATGCAGTGATTCAGTACAAAATGAAACTACCTGCAAAACAGCAAAGAACCTCTCCCAGTTAGACATACTTTAAATGGTTTTTAGCAGAGGCTGTGAGTCACACGCGGCCGCTCTCAGTGCTGCTGTGAAAGTGGCGCCTGGGCAGCGGACGCAGCCAAGCCAGAGCCCCTGCATTGGCACGGGGGCACCGCGCTGCTCCCGGCCAACCCGGCTCCGCGCGGCTTCCCGGTTCGGCACAGACACCCCTCGGGAGCAACGTCACACAGCCCTGCGTCCACAGCTCTAAAGCACTGCAGCTCATTAGCCACAGGCTCTTAATTGGGTCTACCGAATACAGGCTGAAGTAAAATTCTGGGCTTCTAGGTCCCTAGGAATACTAAGCATCCCTGCGGGCTTAAGGGAATACAGGATTGGTCTTTTAATATAGAGGGAAGTCCGTTATTTCCCTATTGTTAACTATTTCTGACTTTTTTTTTTTCCCCAAAGACTCAGGAGAATGGACAAAAGAACTGACCTCCTAGAAGAGGATTTCAAAATTTAGGGATGTCTCTTGATGTTAGTCTTGTTATTTATAGCTGCAGACAGGCTTCGGTTCCTTTGACTACACATGTTTTGTTTAGCAGTAGAACATCCAATATATCATCTATGACTGGGGACAACTGATAACCTAGAACGTTGAGTTACTTAAGGGAAAACTATATTTAAAATAGATGCTGAGCTAAGCCTGTCAGTACCATATAAATAAAACTGAGTAATTCAATATTCAAATCAGCATTCTTAACTTAAAGGTAGCTTTCTTCCTGGATATTAGTTCTCATATTTAGAAAAATAACTTTATTACTGACAACACTGAAGGGTAACAGCTCTGTCCCATGCAGTTGTTAAAATTTCAGCCGAAAGTTCTAGCTTTTTTAATCTAGTAATTTCAGTTCTGTACAGCCAGATTTTGGGATGAAGGCATAAAAACTTACTGTAAAAAAAAAAGACAGACTGGTGACTTTTAAAATATAATCACTAAATATTTTTATACGTAAAGTAAGTATTTAACCAATACTATAATAATATTTTAAAGCAAGAATGTCGTGTATTCTGAAAGACAGCTGAATAATAAAGCTCCTTTGTTTTCAAGATGCAGCATTAACACTGTGCAGCATTAGCGTGCACAGTTACTTCAGGCTAACCCAGTGTATTTACTAACCTCTGCATTCTAATTTTTAAATGGGATAATACTGCAATACCAGTAGTTTTAGCTCTGATCTTGTCTTCAAAAGCCTGTAGATGGTATTTCATTATGTTAAATGACATTTATTTTATTCATAATATTTATCTAAGTTTTCTATTTGGTAAATAGAGTTAAATCATTTGAAATTCTGTGTTTTCAGACGTTTTAGGACTACAGGACTGACAAGGACCTCAAAATGTCATCCACGACCTGCACTCCCCAATGAGACAGGACAAATATGCCCAGGCTATTAGCACTGAGCATCCCAAGAAAAGAAATGGCTTAGGTTTTGTACAAAATAAAATAGCAGATCCTGCCATCCCTGAGACTAGCTGCCAACTGTGGAGTCCTCAGGCTTGACTGCTGTAGTCTAAGCTGCCCTGGCACCAACACTTTGCTTCCGTCAGCAAATGGCAGCGTTCAAAAGCTTTGGGAAGGAAACGGCGCCGCGGTGCGTGCATGTGTGTAGGGTGGCAGGGATGCGGGACAAGCGCATTATGTGCCAGACTCTTGCACACCCATTCCTGGCAGTAGCTGATCCCATGCCAGCCAGCCCGAGAGCCCCCGGGGGCTGCAGCCCTCTCGCTGCACGGGCAAGCAGCCTTTCCAACACCACGCCAGCATATAACCAGATGCTAGAGTAAATATGAGTGTCTTTCGTGATTATGTGCAAAAAATGTACTGACTGACTCCAGCTGCTCATTTCTAACACCACTGCTGGGCAGAGTGAACTTAAGCACTGGTGGAGATGACTAACTACAAGGTACACCTTGCATACGGGACCAAACTGAAGATGCTCTTTGACACGACCTTCATATATCACTTTTTTTGCTGTTAGATGCTCTTTCTCGGTCACAGATGTCACTGATGAAGTTAAACTGGCTGAAACAACAAAATTGTTCCATGAAGGTGTAAGGCAAGAAAGAGGGAGTCCTCAGATGTGTGCAGGTCTGTGGGCCACTCTAATCACAGTGCAGCTCCCTTCTTTGGACAGAGCTGAGGCAGGAAAGCGGCACTGAGGACGGCACGGGGGGAGTGTCCCACCCTGCTGGACGGAGCACACGCGGGGCTGGGTCTGCTTACGGCCTCTGGCCCCTCTTTCCAGGTGTAGGATTCAATATTAAGGCAGTGGAGGATCAGACTGTAGCTCTTGTAGGTTACATAACCTATACATACATCTCCTTGATCTTGTCATCCAACAGCCGTACAGATCTCTACAGAATTTGGCACAAATAAGCATGACTGGAAAGTTTTAGTTACAGAGGACTAAAACTGGACTAAAAAACATACTAGAAGGCTTGTAACCAGGGAGCTAGGCAGGCACGGTGCATGTTTGAGGCAGATTAACCAAAGTCTGTAATTTCCATTAGCCATTGCCATCGTAAACCCTAGGGTAGCTGCAACTAAGTTTTAAAAATAATAAAAACAAAAGTCAGCAGCCTTACCAGAGATCATTGGCATGAATGTCTTTGGCCAAGAAGGGGAGCTACAACAAAAAATGAGAAGTTACAGGCAAAATGAACAGTGCTAAAATGACAGAAGTCAGGAATTCCCTGGCAGTATTTACTAAGCTGGAAAAAGTGAGCTGCACACAAGTTCAGTGGCTACCATAATCTTTTTGCTCCAGTGGCCTTAGTCTGTGATCTCTTTTGGAGCTGACCACTGTTCCAGCTCCAGCTCCTCGTGCATGTGTGAAGACCCAGCGACGCCTCTCCTGCTCTACCAGCGTCCCTGCGCTTTAGGGGTCTGCAGGCCCCTAGGGCTACTTCTTCTGTTCCCTGGGCAGCTGTTGGACAAACACCCAGGCTGTGTCCTGCAAGGCAAAGCCAGCACCGCTGAAGCATCAGCTGTGAAGGAGAAAGCAAAGGCAAACGCGATGCCCTGCGAGCCCTGCCTGGAGCACGGCTCACATACTGCTGCTCCAGCACTATCCAGGACACGAGGAAGCACTCCCAGGAAAGCTTCACACAAGGTTGCCATTCCGCAGCATTCTGACCTCAAATGCTTTAATACTTCTCCAAAGTAAAACACTAGCAGTATGCTGCCATTATTAACATTTTCTGTTACTTGCTCGATTTCACTGCAAAGCTGCATTTACAATTCTCTGAATGCAGTTTTCCCCTGTTCGAGTTTTTAAAAAGTCCCAAACCTTCCACCTTCCAGGCAAGGATCAGTACAGTTCTGTATTGGGTTTTTCTTATCCTTCTGTTCTGCACTGCTGCACCCTGTGTATTCGAGACATGTTAAAGGAATCCACCAAGAGTCTGGAATGAGAAAAGGATGTGTTTGCAGGTTGGGTAGCACTGGCAGGAGCAACTTAACCAGGTACAATTTGTGATTATCTCAGAGCAAACCAAAGAGGGAAATTTGTTAGGAGTGAGATAACCTAGAAACACAAATGAAAAGGCTGACGTGGGCTTGCCTTCCAATAGGGGAAAGCTGAATTCGTGTTCACTCCTGTCTTGAGAAACACCTTGCCAGCTCAACAGAACCACACATGACAATATTTTAGAGACAAACAAGCCGTTCCACCAGAAAATGCTATGGCTGTGGCAGCGAGAAAAGTAATGACAAGTCATCCTATATCCTTATTCAAGAAACAGGCAATGTTAGTTACTACATTGTCTCTCCAATTCAGCTCAGGGCTCAAATACCACGGACCTCCATCACCTTCAAGACAAGAGACTTCAGCGGATCTTCCAGGACCAAGTTCTGTGGGGAGGGAGTCCCAAAGGACGTGTTATTAGGAGAGCCACCCACAACAGGCACCCGGAGCCAGCGCGGCCCTCGCTCTGCTCCTGAGCACACGCTGCCCTGTCCCTGCTCCCACTGGGCTGCTAGACCCGATTTAGAAGGTCATTGTTCAAACTAACAATAGTCACAGGTTCCAAAATACAATATTGAAAGTTAGATCTAAAAATATATTTACCTAGACTTAACACACACTGTCTTCTCTGCGGTGCACTTACACTGCCTAGCATTTGCACATGATGCCAAAAAACTACTCTAAAGTGGTCTTCTCCTAGATTAACACTACAAAGGAATCTGCAGGGGCACGATGAAATCTCTAGTAGGCAAATTCCACCTAGCAGCTCTAAGGAATGCTTTGTTTTGCTTAGTTTTCTAAGCAGTCACTAAAGAAATAAAATTTACGTTGCGTTATTTTCTTTACAAGCCTATGACAATTCCATGCCAAAAAACTGACTCTCAGTGAATGACTTTCATCTGTCATGACAGAATTAGTTTCCTGATACAGAGGCATCAGCATCTTGCTGATTAGTTTGCTGTATTAATTAGCTTGAATATAATGTGGGCTTGACAAAATGTTTTGAAAGTAACACACAGTCTGAACACACGTGTGGTTTCAGGTATTTGATCACTGTCTCTAATCACACTTTTCAAGGTTTTGTCTAATGCAAAGGGAAAAAAACAAAGCGAGGAGAGCCAGCTCCACGGGATCAGACTGGTATTTGGCTCCTTCTCCTCCTTTGTATCAATGACAGGCCAATAATTACAAACCTTTTCCAACACAACCTTATCACTGCAGATTGAGTTAGACGAGACACCGAGAAGCATCTTTCTCTCAACAGTTACATCTGTGGGTGAAAAGCAGCAGCATTCCTATGACTTGCTGTTGAGCAGCAGCACTGCCCTGACCCTGCCGTGCATCTGAATGAACCTTTGACCCTTAGAAATAGGAGGTAAGAAATCAAGGCAAAAGTCTACACAGGACTTGAAAAGACGTTTGAAATGAAGCATTGCAGTTACTTTCTAAGGAGCCGCAAGGTCACAGGAGACAGGAACATGTGAATAAACTTAATTCTTATAATCACTCAAAATGTATTCGTTGTATTGCTCCTTTTGTTAAGCGAAAAAAAAAAAAAAAGACCAGAGGGATCTGTTGCTTTTGTGTAAAATCCTAATGGTATTTACTAGGGCTTTCTACTATGTTTAAAACATAAGAGTTTGTTTTAAGTTCAGAGTGAGGCAGAGAACCACTGTGAATTACTGTTCTTCTGTTTTGCTGCTATTCCTGAACTTCACCACCATAACTGTTATATTATCAGGGCATCCTCTGTAAAATGACTGTAGGACGATGCTCTTGGCACCGAAGTGCGGCTCATCCAAGCGTTCCTTGATGAATCGGACGGCCTCCTCGTTGCTGAAAGCATCCCAGAGCCCATCGGAGGCCAGGATCATGAACTCTGGCTGCAGCTTGTCCAGATCAAAGGTGAGAATATCGGGGTCAGGAATTACCACGTTGAGGTTCTTCAGAGGGTAGTCTCCCAGCGAGCGGGACATGGCCAGGATCCCCTGCACGCGCCAGGAGCCGTTGAAGCTGATGAAGCCACCTGGAGAGGAGGAACACAGGCTCCGTTAGAGCATTTTCCCACCAAATCCCCCCAGAAGTCATGGGGCAGCATCCTCAGGTGGAAACGTTACCGATTTCAAAAATCAGGAGATGCCTTCAGTAAAGCAAACATGGGAGCACTGCAGTGAAGAGCTGGATTGGGCTTCCCTGCTATTGAGACAGTGGAGCACAAAACCCGCTGTGCTTTCAAATGAAGCTGGGCTTTGTATTCGTGACTCCCCCAGTGAGACGGACAACATGCTGAACACAGAGATCCACATTCCCGTACCAGGCAATTTATTGTTCAGAGAGCCCTATGGCAACGTTAAAGAATATACTGAAAGCAAATCTTTATATTCCTGCTTTAGTAAATCACTCCTTCTCCTGGGTAGCTCAAGTTCAGGTTTTCCCTCATTTAGGAAGATCTATGAAGGAAACATTAACACTGAAAATGGTCTGCAGTAGGACTCTAATCTCAGTTCAAGGCATAAAGCAAAGATGCATCAAGTGCAAAAACACCTACAGCCTCTTCTCCAAACCTGCCCTAAATAAGCTTGTGTCAAAGAAGGCCTAAAAATCCTTGTTGGGAAAAAAAAACAGTCAAAAAATTTGCTTCTAGTCAGAAAAACGCAATGTGGCATTTGCCTGACTGATACAACCATCTCCAGGATTAACGCTACTTCCAGTTGAAAATATACTATTATATTTAGGAGTTGATTATAGTGAGATGCATTTTTCACTGAAATCAGTGACTGAAATCAATGGCACCTGGCCATTATACAGCTGGCTTTTATTAGAGAGGGATCTATATTCTGCCTCAAGGTCAAAGGGTAAAATTGAAGCCCTTCCCATTTCACGTGCCTGTCTGTGAGGCACTGTCTGCACTGAATCACAGCAATACTCCATCCTCACATGACAGAAAATTTATCAAAGTTATTTTAGGACAAATGATTTGCAAAAGGTATAACAGAGAACACAATATGAGAAATACGCCACAAAATACCACTAAGGTATTGTTGTTTGTATCTGCAAGTTCTTTGCTTTGGTTTTCTTATAAATGTGTTTGTTCTCTGCAGTTATCAGAATGCTTTCAGCTTTGCACTCCAGCATATAAATTATTTGTTAACCACCAGCCACCTAAATCTTACGATTTCCTTTCCACTCCGCATGAAGCTATAGACTCTATTTCATTTAATGATTAATTCTTGTCTAAAGCTTGATTTGTGTTAAAACTGGCAGAAGTAAAACTTTTTATTTGGAGGTTTTCATGAATGCTTATGCGGAGTCTCCATTATTAAGGCATTTCTTCCCCTGGATGAAGGGCTCTCCCAGCCTGTCTGCAGCCTCTCCCGAGATGCGCAGCCCCGCGAGCTCTCCCAGCCGCTGCTGCTCTGCGTCCGGTGCCCTCTCGCTCCAACGTTGCACAGACACCTCTTTATCTGCACTGCCTTTTCTTCATAGCGATTAGAAAAATAGTAACTCTGAATGTGATCGTATGCCCATAGCGGAGTGACGGGGCACACAAAATGCAACCAAGAAGAGGTGACTGTGAGACGAGGGCAACGCACCCGTTACGGGGCGCG